ATCCTACGGCTTTCCCCCCTCCTTAATTATTGTGAGTGTTTGAGTTTTTCACAGGCAGCATCTCTGCTGCTCATTGTGTAATAATACAGCTTCATCTTTAGAGACGGACATGTATCGTAAAATAGAATTACATCTCACACTGAGGAGTTCTGATCTCGTATCTGCAAAGGCGTCTTTTCGAAACAGCCACAATTCCAAGCATTTGAGGCAGTTACACATGTTTGCAAAGATGTTTCGGGGGGATGGGTGGGTTTGACTTTTGGGGGCTTGGGAGGATCCACTCTCATTATAGACAAGTAAACTTAACTGAGAATTCAAAACTCGTGTCTGCAGGCACAAGCCCATATTTACTGCCACAGTCAGGGTTCTAAAACTACCAGGTTTGTATAGACTTACCTTACCTTTCTTTTTTTAATTATTTTTAATATCAGTTTTGCATTCCCTGCTTATTCCTCAGTATGCAAAGGGAAGAAGAGATTGTTTTCCTAAACACCTCAAATCCTGTGAAACCAGAGTGCTGCTTGGTACCCACTGGGAGTGAATACAGGGTCCTGCTCCAGACTCAAGTTTCTGAAGATATGTTCCGAATTCTCTCCCTCTCTCTAAAAATATCTCCATGTGCATCCACGTAGAAGTGGGTCTGAACACACACCTCAACGTTGGACATGCTCACATTCTGGGAGTGGTCAAAACCTGAACCTGGATCTAAAGCCTGTATGTTAAATTAGTCCAACAGTTCTGTCAGTTGTAGGATTTGCAACAAAACTTTTGCTGTACTTGGCAGGTGAGAGATGGTCCCACCTCTTTGCGATACCTCAGGGGTGCCTGCCTACTGTGCACTGTTTTGAGAAGACTCATCATGACCAAAAGAAATCAAGATATATGAACTGAGCTTTACCAGGTGCCAGTGTTAAATGTTCTGTCGTACGACAGGGCATAGAGACGTGCTTTCTGTGGCCATGCCTACGTCAGTTTTCCCAAGTTTGGGTATACTGGTGTTGGCTTATTCCTTCACAGGAAGGGCAAAAGCAGCTAGCTGCAAAGTTCAGATTTGGTTTCATATTCCAGCTATGGCAGAGTCACTGCTAGAGTTTGGATTTAAATCCAAATCTCTCTGGGATTGGTAGCGCAATGGAGGACACTTGCTTAGCTGCAGAGATGAGTTGCTCCAGAATCCCTTAAGTGGAGAATTTCAGAGCAACAGTGTCTCCAGGGGGAGCCTGTCTCGCCTTCCTTGGTCAGTGCCAGAACACTGCTTGGAGACGTGGGAGCAGCGTTCTGCAAAGAAGACGGAGCCGCCAGCACGCTACGATCCCCCTGTTCACAGTAAGACTGGCTAGAGGATGACATCAACAGGATGACAATGAGACCATAAATAAGTGACAGCAGAAACTCCTCAAACTTTCCAATGAGTTGCCTACAGAAAGCAGGGTCTTCACGCATACAAAAGCTAAACAGCTCCCAGTTTGCTGGCTGGCTGAAGAGAAGTAAAAATCATCCCGCAGTAAGAAGTGATGGCCTCGGCACCAGTGTCGGTGGTGTTAGGATCGCAAGGCTCACAATGCAAAATAATCTGCTTCGAGAAGACAAAAGGCCTCAGGGCTACATAAACAGAACTGCAAAAACTTATGAAAAAAAAAAAGGAAGTAAGGGGCAGACCTTCGTAATATAAATCTGCTACCTTTGTCACTTTATTAAAGTCAGTATCGAGGGCATCTATGATGTGATATCCCACCTCTGTGACCACAAAGCTCTTTGTATTGGATATATGTAAATAAGGCAACTACATACCTAAATACCAGCTTGTGCACGAATAGTTTCTGCTCGTATTTGTATACACATTCACACTACCTTCAAAATTGCAGGATGGAGGAAAGTACCATGGAAGACGTGCCAGTTTCAGAATTTGGTCTGAAATGCTACTGCAGTAAAGTGCTGTTTATGAGAAAACCCCTCTACTTGAACGTAAATCCTTCCTACTGCTAAATATCCTATTGTTTCCGAGACATGACAGCTCATTCTCATTGCTCTGACAGCTATAACGAGTGTTTATTTGGAGGAGCTTGGGTTTTTTTGGTTTTTTTTTAATTAAAAGCTAATTCAATGCATTGAATGATACCCCAGAGAACAGGCTGCTGTTACTTGATGGGACTGACAGCACAAGCAGAAGCAGCTAAAGACTCCTCCCCAGATTACCAAGTCCCTGTGGTTCAATGTAGCTGAGCAGGGAACAGGTGAAAATGAAAAAAACAGACACATCAGCATGATGGACTTTCAACAAAGCTAATACTGACTGATACCAATTCCACTGGGGTTCTCGGTGCTGTTTCTTATACGCCAGACTGTACTAACACGTAACTCACTTCGCACAGGCAGCCCGAAAGCCATCAGACAGTAACACCTTTTGGTCACTCATCACTGACCCAGACTGGATTTGGGCTGTTGAACCAGAAGAGAGTGTCACTGGCAAAAACCACTTTGTTTTGACATTGTCTTAGCATTAAGACAATGTCAGACTTTCCATTTGCAGCCAGCATATTAACCTGTCTTCCATCAGTGCCTGAGGCAGACCATCCAAGGAACAGGCATTCCAGCCAATAAAGAAACAATTCACTCTAGGCTTTGACTGGCTTTTGGGGGGGTTATTTTTTGGGGTTTTAAGGGATACGTTTGCAGACTAAAACACAAGCTAGAATTAGAAAAAGCCTTGGAGAGGCAACTAACACTTAACGACCTCGTGTATTGATTTGCCACATGGAAAGGAACACGCAATTTGTTCACGCAAAGAATTTGTGTGTGGTTATATGGCATACCTGATCATCCATGGTGTTAACCCCGTCAGGTCCCAGTGCATCGATTGCTTGGTTGATCAGATCTGTCCTTCCACAGTTTAGCATTCGGAAACCCAGATCCTGCTGGAATTTTTCAGTAGCAGCCTTAGCATCCAGTCTCCGGAAGGAACTAAAGCAGCATTCAGGTCTGTGAAGAACAAAAGATTTTCTGGATTATTTTCTTCTTTTTTAGCCCCGTCTCCTAAGAAGTCAGGCTCATGAATTTTCATGATTTTACCTATCGTATACCTTCCTCACTGCATAATCATTTCTGAAAAATCTGGCTAACTTCACTCATACCGGAGATAGAAGTTTTAGTTCTTAGAGAAAGACAGTAAGTTCATGTAAACACTGCAAAAAAAATTAAAAAAGGTGTCCAAGTAGAGAAACCTCATCAGTGCCCTTCTCCGAGGGAAAGGCAGGAAGAAATCCTTATTCCTTGTCAAGAGCGGTGGTTTTCACCCAGCCTCTCGCTACAGGGGTAACTCTGGACCAAGCACCGCTTCTGCTACATCCTAGCCAGCAAAACAGAAAGGGGATGCCAGAATATGCCCATACCATAATGGACACCGAGCAACCGGGGTTACCGCAGCATGAGGTTATTGTGGTGGGACCGGTGTCACAGGCTGCAAACCTGCAGCAACCAGGTTTCCTTAGTTCTACTTCTCACAAAAAAAACCCCACCAAAACCCAGTTGCTTTAAATAATTAGCCGTGTACATTTTGTATATCATATTTGTAGTTTCCTGCTTGTTATAGGATAGTCCATCAAACATACACAAAAACATATTGCAAGGAGGAGAAAGAGGTGGAGGGAAAGTGTATCTAATAAAATACCAGTGTAGTTCTAGGATGAAACAATTATGCTATCTGTCTACCAGATTAGCTATTATTTTGAAATAAAAGGCGTTTCTGAAAGAAGACAATGATCCTTATTCTTTTCTGGAAAAAAAATAATAAAAGTTAAAAAAAAAAAGGAATCGAAATCAAATTTAGGTAGTGGAACATTCTCAACTCTTCCAACGCCTCATTAAAAGGAAGCGCGTTAACATTTCTATGAGGCTCTATTAAATCCTTATCCTTTAGATGACTATCAAATGACCTTTATCTCATTTGGAAGGAGTCCAGGGATTACTGTAAATCCTCTGGTTATCTGCTCAGAGACTTCTGAATTCCAAACCTGGAAGTGTATCTGCTTCACTGAAGAAACATTGCCAGATTGGAGGTGTTCCCTATCTCAGCTGGGCATTGATATGGTCAGCCCTTTGATGTTATTCAGGGTGAATGCCTTCTCTACTCGTTGTCTGGTTTTCAACACAGGCTCTTGTGCAAACTCTCAGTGAGTGAGATATCAGCCTGCCAAGTTCCTTTGAAAAAAAGAGATTCTCTCAACAAGGCTAACCTCCACTGGAAACTTTGTACGGCCTGCCAGATAACTAAACAACTCCTCACTTCACGTAGGAGATTCAAGACGAATCTTAGTCAAGTTTTAATTCAGCTGGTCATTTTTTAACGCTCCTGAACTTGCATTGATGGTGGATGACAAATGGTGAGCAGATGCTCTGAACAATATGCTGACTTAACAAAGATCCCTCCACAGCCTGGTGACTGGTCACATTGTACAGGGGAAACCAGCATCTTGCCGCAGCTGCTTTCGGAAAGGAACTACATCAGGGTACAATTTGGGGAACAGTCAGCAGGGAAGCAAAGTGACAGTCTTGGAGTCACTAGCTCTTTTGAGGTTCATCTGCAAATAAAATGTGTCTCCGAGACAGCTGAGTACATCAGAAGACAAGATCTCTGAAGCACCCAGATATTAGGATATTAGGAAACATACAGTACAGCGCACAAGAGGTCAGTAAGGCAAAAGGCTTAATGCTAGACATATACAAATCCTAGAGCTAGGCTAGTCAATTAATAATCTTGTTCTAGTAAGGTAGTTGGTACATTATCGTCATGCTACAATATTATGTAGAATATGATGCAATGACTTTGTATAATAAGAAGGAGGAGGAGGAGGAGAAGAATCCTATGCAAAAAAGTGAAATAAAATGACATCACCTGAAATCCAGTGAACCTCAGAAAATAAAAGTTTTTGAAGGAATGGTACCTGTCTTTGCATATTGTTTGTATTTTGCTAACAGGCATGATTCCACCCAGTGCTATTTACAGGCACTGTTGGAGCAAGGGTGGTGGGGGGACAATTCACCGACGAGCCCTGCAGAGCGAACGGCAAAACAAAACAGTTGCACAGAGCTGTGAGAGAGACTCAGCAAAAAGACGGACTCTAGTTCTTCGTGTAGAGCTGCCAGGAGGCCAGTTCAGGCGCAAGAATTTGAAGTTATAATTTGTAAACTTTACTCCTGGGGGACCCGCAGGCTCAGCCCATACAGAAGTTACTGTACACTTGCTGTTCTGCAGCAGTAGCGTGACAGCACGCTCTTCTATGATAGATGCAAAGTAGCTTTTTCTTTTAGAGTGTGATAAAAGTTAAGAGCATCCTACAAGAGCCGGGGGGGGAGAGCTCACATATGCACAACTGCTCTGCAGCAGCTGTAACCGCAGCAGGTTTTTCATGTGCGAGTTGCTATCCTGTGGGGAAGAGAGGCAAACTCTTGCACGCTTCCTAAAGTAAAGCCTGTGCCCCTGCAGTTGCCCAGATAGCAGCTCCCACATACGCTCAGCTGTGCCCAGGGGATAAACTGAAGAACTGAAGGTGGACTGAGAGACATCGGGGAGGCAGAGCCCAGAGAGCAGGGAAAGGGATAGGGCTGAGGTCCTAGTTTGGGAAGGGATAGCTTGAAGAGGGAGCAGGAGCCAGGTGTGCTCTTTGGGTTTCATAAGCAGTAACTACTACTATAACTACTGGTAGTGAGTGACTTAAATTTGGCCTGCAGTGAGGAGAAAGAAAGAGAAAAAAAAAAAAGGCAGTGTGTGATAATAACTGAATATTAAAGTCCCAACATTTGTATTTAAGTAGGTCGAAAAGAAACACAGTTCTCTGCAATCTGGCATTTCCCCACTTGTATTATCATTTAACCAGTAACAGGTGAGTACCGAAGATGTTTATAAATTGTCTGGCAAACATAAACTGAGAGCATCCTCTTAGAAGGCTTCATCCACTAAGACACAAACAGTTGTTGTGGAAGACTATACCGCCCAAGCAGCCTGTGTCAGGGAATAGATATTAGAGGTCTGAATTTCAGGTTGAACTAATTATACTTTGTTCTTCTGCACAACTTCTCCTTCAGGGATTTCAACATACCCTACCTGATGCATCACCACTGCAAGGAACTATCATTATATGACTTTTAGCCTGTGCATCATGAGGAAAAACGAGTTGCATTTTGCCTGTAGTCACACAGCAAGCCAGGGATAAATTTGGCTTCAGTTCCAAGATTTCCTTTTCCGCTAAATGTGCTGTAATGGCTAGATAGAAATGACTGCTTTAAAGGATCATAGAATGGGCACTGGAAACGAGGCACTGCTCTCTCCTCGTGTTTTTTTCTATTAGTTTAAATCTTTCATGCAGCAAAAAGACAATGCTCTTTCTCTCATACCACACATCACAGAACATCCTTAGACCCCTGAAAATAAAACTCAGGCAAGAGAGTGCAGAACAAAGACCTGATCAAGCTTAACTTTGATTTTTGTTCTCTACTACAAAGATGACGTGCATTACTTTAAAGCAGAAGTTGGTTCACCTGCAGGGAATGCATACTGTGTATGTCCCTACGGAGGAACAGTTTGGTGAGGTAAAAGGTGTGAAAGGATCTTAGTTTTCTTACAGAATTGCCATTCTTTCTGTAATAACAACAAACTGGATAGAAACCTCTAACATACTCCTTCCCTGGGCCAGTACTGCTAACCCCTTAACAATCCAGCAACTGAATTATCTTATGCCTGAATATCCCACATAGTGTGGCTGAGGCCCTTTATACCTGCTTCTCACTTTTATTTGTTGCCTACATTATTTTGGACTTCCTGAGTGTCTATCGAGACCTTCGTTTCATAGCTGTATCATTATGGCTTCAGTTTAAACTTACTGAGATGAACCCCATTTTCACAAAGGCTGTCTCTTAAGTGTTGCCTTTTAGCTTACATCAGCAGCAAAATCAAACACCCAAATCCCTGCCTTCTTTTTTGTTTGTTTTTTTAAGGTATACGATCCATAAAGTAAGGGACTACCTGTGCTTTGTATGTTAATGTGCGCAAAAAAACCAGTGCAGAGATGGAGTGGGATACCTTTGAAGTGGAAGGTTTGGATTCAGTTTTGAAATCAAAAGTCTTTCTAAAGGAGAGACTGAAAGAAAACCCATGAAACTGACTGGAAGTACTTTAGTCTTCCACAGTACTGTTCATCAAAGAATTTCAAAGGTTTTGGCAAGCATTAGGCACATATGTAAAATTCGTTTAGCCTATATAAAGTTGCCTACACTAGCACCTACCATCCACACGTAAGCCAGAGTAGCCTGTACTTTAATTGACACAGAGCACACGTACACTGGCAGAGAAAAGGGAGAAGAAAAGTGTTCCAGGAATAAGCGTACAACTCCTGCTTTGTGGACGCCAAGTCCAAGTTCAGCTGCTCCCTTCCAGTCTGAAGCCAAGGAATTTAAATAACTGCTGAGGATCACCTGTGTAACTTCAGTTTTAAAAAGACTGGCAGCACTCTCGGTCGGTCAGGTACCACGTCGCAGGAGAAAGGCAGGAACTGAGAGCTAAGAATAAGACTAGGAGTCAGCTACAGCCGACGAAACACTCAGTCATCTAATTGCACCAGCTTTCTCACCAACTAATTTAGCTTCGCATTAGGTTTTGTGGGTAATAAGTACTACCCTTCGATGCACAAATGGGGAGACAGAGATGTAGCAAAAAGCAAGAGCCTTTTTGGCTTCCAGAAGGAAAAGGTAAAAAGCAACAAAACCAGATCCAGGACTCCTGATTAAAAGCCTCTTGTTGCTTTTGTTGTTCAAGAAAAATAATTCTAAGAGTAAGGATATATTTTTATCTTTTCAGGTGATCATTTCATCACTTAAGAGCATGATAAAAGTATTATTTATTGTTATTAATGTGTCCCGCCCACTCATTTAACCCAAAGGTATATGGGGGATAGAATTCACTCAAGAAACAAGAATTTACCTTGCACTAAAGTTCAAGATGTAACCCTGATATCAAAACCAGTGCTAATGACAGCAACTTAAAGGACTACAAACGTGAATAAAATATCTATGATGTGCTAATGAATCAAGCTAATTATAAATTCCTTTTCAATATATATGTGAGGGGAGGATTTTAAAAGGTACTGATACTTTTCATCAAGGTATCTCAAAAAGCAAAGAATAATCTTGTAATTAAGGCTGAGGCATAAAAAACCCCAAATACTTGTATTTCAATCCTTCTCTGTCTCATTCCTCCTACATAACTTTTGGCAAGACAAAATCTTTCTACCCCAGCTGCAGTGTTTGGCCAAAGTTCCTTTATCTCTCGGAGTACTAAAAGGTTACACATGTATTGCCTGTATAGTATTTTGAGATCTGGCTCCCATGAAATATAGTAAGAATAATATTGTAAGAAGTTACAATTACTTTAGCTGCTTATAAAGCTTAGTCCACGTACTTTAGCTGCCGGGGCTCGCAGTCCAGTCCAGGTAAGAGCAGTCTGGCTGTCTGCCTGATATCATCGCTGTCCACAGTTAAACTGCGCCGGTGCTCAGCGTAGGTGATAGCCACTCTCATCCACTCCATCAGCGGTGGCAGAAGCATGAAGGGTCTGTGCAAACAAGGAAAAAATCCATCACGGTTAACATTGGCCTGCTATCTTGTACTGCGATGCAAAAGCACACTTCATCGCTTCCTGGGCATGCTTGTGGGAGGCTGGCACAGATAAAACCCACCTGCAGAGGCAAACTCTGTCCCTGTGCTCAGCAAGACTGGCAGGTCACAGCAGGTGGAAGGAACTGGAACTGCTCAGCCTTGGTTAGCTGAACCACTTCTTACCCAAAATGGGGTCATGCCGGGACATGCCGGTTTCATGCAGTACATTTTACCCTGTGGGAAATAGGGCCAGACTGAAAATACGGGACCTACTTCTACTATTAGCTATAGGTCAGGCCCCCCTAGCTCAAGTGGCCAATGCTTTGTTGTGGATCAGAAGGGCTCTCATCTCCAGGGTGCAGCTTATATAATAATTGTCTCTGTTGTTCTAAATAATTCGTATGTACAGGCTGCTCCACTGCTCACTTAGTAACACTGAAAATATTCTTGATTATTTGAAACTTCAATTAAACCAGGCTAATTCAGTACTAGCCCCATTGATTTTTACATTACATTATCACTATCCGATGGCTTTTCACATCCTACATTCCTTACATGCAGAGCTCAGGCCTCCATTTGTGCATAACTGACCCTCTAGACCACAGCAGAACTGATGCAGCTATGTTTTAATGGGAACCGTTTTGCCAGGGAGGAATGAGTAGAATCAATGAGATGACAACTAACAGGAAGACATCTCTGTGCAAGAATAAATGTACAACATTACTTAAATTGTAAGCAATTTGTGGAAAAGCAATCTGTTCCTAATTTGTACAGCATCCAACACAGTTAAGGTCTTACTTGATATGAAGGGTTGCAAGGCAATAAAGGAATATAAATAAGGTAATAACAATAGCAACAACAGCTATTTTGGACCAGCCTATGAAGAGGCCCCCCCCTTACTCCTGCTATAAGAATGAACACAGTACTGAGATTACACATTAATATATGGGTACCATAATACTCTCATACACAACAGATCTCATCCATCCTCTCAATATACAGCCGACCTGATCTATTCTTTGCTTGATTTTTCCCCAGGGATACCTGCCACCCTGCAGGTGCCTCTAGGGAAACCCTGATCATTTCACAGTCTGAAAAACACTGGAGGTGGGGAAGGGGAGAAACCGTCATGGAAAATTAACTGGGAGATGCTGTGAGCTAAAGAATTAATTTCTGTCTCTGCATTTCTGTCTGTGCCATGTTCTGTACTGTGCATTTTCCTCTGGACTTTCTGACATTTAGAAGCGTTTGGCAGCTCATTAAATTCTTCACATGAAGTGATCCAGCCCTGGGAAACTGTCATACTCACAGCAGTCGTTCACTAGGGACACATACTCTCTGATTTCTATGAAGAATGCCACCATTCCTTTGTTCAGTTTCTTGCCATGAAGTTGTCTTCCAGTGATGCCGTGTGTAAACTGGGAAAGTACACAGCAGTGGAAAGCAAAATGGACACTGCTCACCTACTACACACCTTGTAAAGAATCGCATGTGCTGTCAATATTCTATCCACAGGTTCTTTGAAATTTTCTCCATTTCAAATTGGACAGCTACTCCGTTCCCAAGGGGATCGGGCTGGAGCTGGGTGAGATGTGCTCTGAGAAAGAGTGGACTTTATTTGGGCTTTTCCCCCTCATTTGAATTAAAATGCATTGTTTTATTTAGCCATAACCGAGAAGGATGGTGGCAGCAGCACTTGGCAGAGAATTTATAGCAATTTGTAACTTTTTCCTGGAAAATGTATTACACTCATTTGATTAGAACGGTCTAGGACATGACCGGCATGTGGAGATCATGTGTGGCAGTCCTTGAGGATGTGCTGTGGGATCACAGACTTTCAGTGTTAACTCATGCATCGCAAAGAAACTAGTCCCCAAAGTGGTCTCTCTTCTGAGGATTTTTAAGAGCACTGGGGCCAAGACATTTTTGGCAGAGGGAAGTTAATTGTATGCAAAAAGGAAAGAGCTCCAGAGGAGTTAGAAAATTATGTCATCCTTCCTCTGCATTGAATGCTAGGACACTGCGCTCGGAGTTTGACTTTCAGAGGTGAAGAACACCTGCTATCTCAGCTGAAAACAGTAGGTCTTCCTAGAAGAAACAGCCATGCTATCAAATTCCCCCCGCCTGCCTGGGTCCCCAGGAGGATCCATGACAAGACTGCTGAAGGAACGAGGAGCAAGGGGAGGAGGAGACTTTTTCCCTGCAGCCACCTCTCTTCTCCTCCTGTGCTATTTTTCGTAGCCTCCTGTTTTGCTACAGCAAAACAGAGAGGGAGCCAACAGTGACAGCAACATCAAGAAAGAAAAACCTTGTTCTTCTAAACAAGAATCTCCTTCTTCTAAAGCAGGAAAGAAAATACTGTCCTAATGGAAGCAGGTGAGAACAGCAAAATTTGTCTCCGTCTTGGCAGTCTGAGCTGGTCCTGAGACACACATGCAATGGACAGTCTCCCATCCAGCCTGTCCCATATTCTTCTAAATGGTTTGACTGAACAAGCTTTCTCTTCCCTTCCTCTGTAACAACTGCTCTATAAGCCCCTGCTAACGTTTTAAACACATGCAAACTTTAGCATCACAAAACACGTGTAAATATCAGAATACTTCTGGTCAGGGTAGGGTAAGCCATGATAACTCCCCCATATTTGATTTACTGAAACTATACAGAGGCTACGTACAGGAAAGAATCCTAAATCTTTACAGATTGTTGTGGGTTTTTGCAAGGGACTGAAAAAAGAAGAAGGGCTTTCAGTGCAGTGAGCTGATGTTTGAGTTTAATGCTGGAATCAAACTCTATGGTTCAGTCCCATTTTACCCTAAAATGGTAAGAGCTCAAAGCCACTAACACAAAGCGAGTTAAGAACAGCTATAAAAAGCTATAGCTTAGTCTCACCTGTTCTCTCTTTTTTTTAAGGAATAAGCTTAAAAGTCACGTTGCATGACTGCACACAGAGAGGGGAGTATGTGACTAACAGAGATACTGGGAGTGATTGCCGGATTGCCAAGTAAGCCAAGCAGGCTTTGTCATAGCTTTTCAATGCTCCTAGTTAGGGGTCCTGGGAGACCCACATGCAGTGAGCAGAACTATGCAGGGGAAAAACGGTGGGAATAAGACTAATCTGCAACAAAATGGTGAATCGTGTAGGAGGGTGGCTAGAAGAAGGGGCGTTGTTTCAACTTTACACCAAGATGGAAAAACCCCAAGGATGGCAACAGAGTCTAAAAGAAAACAAAGCGAAGTCTCATTATTTGGAGAAGGGAAAAGACTCTGAAGCAAGACAGAGTATCCGAAACCTAAACCATGTCATGTTGATGTGGAAAACAGTGGCATATTTACAGTTTGGATTCTCAAACACTAAACCCTTCTTCAAGCTGCAGGAAAAAAAATAAACCTCTGAGTATGTAATCATACGTGAATAAAATAACAACAGAAACCATGATTTAGAAAAAAAAACAAAATCTTTGCTCCAAAACACAACCAGCTTAAGTCAGAAGCCATTCCTTTCAGATTCAAAATATTGTACTGAATTTGCAAAAACCTCCCACATTTACAGAGAAAAGATAGGAATTACCACGCTGGATCTGATTCAAGGATCATCTCAACAAATGCCACGTCTTTCAAAGCAGACAGTCCCAGATCTTCACAGAAAAGGAAGAAGAAATTTAATCACAGCCAACTGGCCCATAAAGAAAGTTTTCTTCTGAATTCCCTTGAAACAATGACTGGCTCACATCTTAGAAGATAAGCGTTCTCAAATTTTAGTGGATCATTATCAAGTTACTAAGGTCTTGGCTTGGATATGCCATGACACTAACTTCCACAGTTTAGTGAGTTATCCTTCAGTCAGACACTAATGGAATGAAAAACATCTGGATAATATTATATTTATTGGGATCCTTTCTCCACTGAATCTGCCTTCACAGTCTCCTCTGCTTATAGAATATAAAATGGTACAAGAATAGTTTAAATCTAGAACTGGCAGCTCCGATCTTTCTTAGCAATCCTAGTAACCACAGACAGAAATACCACCTTTTCCGCTCTTCTCTGCAAACTGTGCTTAGGAATAAGGTACAGCATCAGACAGGTTTTACTTCATGTTAACTGCAAATCAAAGTAAAAACTAAATTCAAGCTCACTAAAAATAACATGAAGTAATCATTAGGAACTCACTCTAAATCTTAAAAAAGACCCTCAAGTCTGTGGTTTATTTACTATAATCACATTTTGCAAACTTTGTTTTAACAACAGGCAAAAGATTCCATTTTCAGGCTGAAAACAAGTACTTGTGCTGCTTTGGAATGTGCCATGTGTCTCATTAGAAAAACATATTTGTAACATCTGTATGCTGTGGCAGAAGGAGCTCTTGGTATCTAGAGAGACAGAAAATAATTAAAACCAACTTAAATTGTATGTAGTTGATGGTAAGAGTCAGATAGATATACACGATAGTTTTAAGTACAACAATATGGTCATAGTTATGTGGTCAATGATGTGACTGACTTCCATCTGCCTCCCCCAGACACACAGAGCTGTTTGATCCCTGACGGGTGCTGCGAGTACCCACCTCAACAGAGGAAACGCGGAGGAAGGGAAACCACCGATCATGCTCCTCTTGCTCCTCCCAACAACTTGACATCCTAAAATTCTCCATAAGCTGAAAACTACTGCAAACAATCTGGGAGATGGACTATTGTTGCATGACTCTCGACCTAATTGCAGTCTTGACCTCAATTAATATACAGCTGTACGTTTAAATCACTTGCAAGAAGATCAGATGCAACTATGAGGACTGACTTGCTGAATCTCGTATTAGACACAGGAAACAGCGCTTGTGAGTGATTTATGCATGCCAGCTTCTACCACCAGACTTGCAGAGGTCAATTCTACAGATCTTCTCCGAAGGACCTGGGTCTCAAATCCCATCTCTGACCAGCCGAGAGCATCCTCGCATAGTCACTG